ATTATGTTATGATTAGTACTGAAATTATCACAATACTGATGACTAATAAAGCTGTTTATCGAAGAATATAATTTTAAGATCTTTCTTCATTTTCTCTGGCTTTATTATTTTGTTAGTCATTTTTTAAATAGTGCTTGTTAAAAGTAGTCGATAGGTAAATATAGTTATCGGTGGGAGTCATGGATTGAAATATAGAACTGTATTTGGAATTCTTTCAATCTCTGAAGATTTTCAATATCTTCAAAACGTTTACTATCAACCATTTTTTAAGGTTTAATGAAGTTATATAAACATAATTTTTGTGAGTACTCGTACTCATGCAAAAATGTCAATGTACGTCTTTCATGTATCATCTTGTAATTAACGCTACCGTAACTACACCACGTTCTACTCATAACATCTGTATTCTAGTGAATTCCAACTATATTTTGTCATTTAATTGATAATGTTAACAAAAAAAAGTTTAAAAATAATCTTCAGAATGTCAACAAAAAAATTGAAAATCATTAAAAATTGTTTTCTGTTAGCTTCAGTTTTCCTAAGACAAACCTTGTATTGTATCCCGATTCATACTCTCTTGTAACATTTACTTAAAGAAAGATAAGTAGGCTAAATCGATCAGTCGAAAATTCATATAATCCATTTTTTTTAATTATTCTTAAAACGTAAAATTGTTAAAATATATATCACTGAACAAAAGAACTTAACATTCGGATTTGTGAAGATCATCAAAATGTAAACAATAAACTGAACAGGTTCAAACAAGTAGCAACCACTATGTATTTTTTCTGGTAGCTACGTTAACTACTATTACATTGAAAACTATTTATAGTGACCATATTTATATACCAAGAGTATACATTTTTATTCAAATACAGTTAATCTGATTAGTCACTTGTTACTCACTTCAGTTGTTAGTTTTCCTATCAATAAAAATTAGATGCAAACATAGAACAAACTATTAAGGCAGAACAAAAAAAAATTCATTCAATGAATTATTCTCTATATTTTCATCAATAACTCATTGATGATGAAAAAAAAACAACAAAAAGAAAGAAAAGTTGGTAAATGTTTCCTTTTCCGTTTTGTATTCATCCTCTACTCGTAGTGTATTTTGTAATTTACTTTAAAAATAAACAAACAAACAAACAACTAGCAACATTGATTGATGTACTATACTATTGAAAAGCTAGTACACACTACTTATGTATATATATGCACGCTCAAATAAAATAAATTTGGTTTTCTAAAATTTATGCAAAAAGAGAATAATTGGGGCATATTATCACTCTTTTCTGATTGTTCACATTTGTCACGAACATTATTTATTTATTTTTATAAATAACACTTAAATAAGGTTAGAACTAATCCAATATATAGGGTTCAAATACAAACAAATGTCAATTGTTCAACATTGCAATACTTTTATTTGAGCAGAATACTATTTTCTTTATTTTGAAACATACAACAAAATATATCGGGAAAAATGTTTCCGCTTATTTCAAATTAAAATTTATTGGGATGCAGTATTTATGTATAAACCATTTAATAATTAATAATTGATATATTCTGAAAATAATAATTACAGAATTCCCGCCAGTTTTCAGTCATGATCAATTTGATATAAATAGTAACGTTAGATGTATAGAACAAACATGTGATAGAAGAAAGTTTTAAGTATACTAGTTCAATAATTGTTTAGGTAGTACTTGTGTTACAGCGATCCAATGCATCAGCCGGGAATTTTTAATATTTCTTAAATGGACAGCCTGTTGATTTATGAACGGAGTAATTAAGGTCATTTCGTGTGCTAGATCGAATTAATGATAATTATCTACAACTAGAGAAATCAAAACGAAAACAGAGAGCACGGAACAACAAAGCAGTAATTACCAAAATATGTCCATCAGGTCTACCAAAATGCATGTCTCATGTGACACAGTGATATACTGTTGATGTTATTCAAATTAGTTAAACTTTCTAGGGACAGTCTTAACATAAAGTGATAGCAAGTAGTTTTACTTAGTTAATCCATTAATAAAGATGGCTTAACATTTGAAGTTCCTATAATATCACATGTGGAATGAGATACACTTACAGGTGCTAGAGCATTCAGTGCATTTACTGAGGAGCAGTAAGCATTGATGCAGCGAACAAATAATGGGAGTGATTTTATCGTATAGATAGATTGTGGTAGATTATTCCAGAGTTTAGAAAATTTAAAGGTAAAGTAATTCTTATCAAGAGATGATTTAAAATAAGTTTGTTTCACTAGTGACAAGGAATTACGGATGTCATAATGAGAAGTTTATGCATATTGAATCACGTGATTGGACATAAAGGATAGTTTAGTAAGTTGTTGGAAGAAAAAAATAATACTTAGTTTGAGTCTCCTCTTCCATAAAGAGTCTATCCCAAGTAAAGGTACAATCGGCTCCAAGAATACGAAGTGTAAATCATCTCTGTTCTGATTCCAGCCTTAATTTATCCTTTATGCACGCACTGTTAAGGATAAACGAGCAATATTCTCGAAGAGGTCAAACACAAACTTTTTACATTAAAATACATGACTCATTGTTATAAAGGTTTCGAGTTATGTAACCTACTAGACGTTGAGACTTAGAGGTCTGTTTTAATATCTGTTCTGTAAACGATAAGTCTTGGGAGTATCTAAGTTCTAAGTCTACTACTGTATGTAACCTAGATAACACTTCTCCATTTACGGTAAGGTCAAGGCTGAGTGATGTATCGTCGGAGCATATCCATCCACATTTAGCCGTATTAAGCTCCAGTAGCTAGTTCAAGCACCACTGTGCTACCTTGTTAAGCTCCATGCTGATGCAATTTTGCATATTTTTCAGCTCATGTGGAGAAAGTGAATATATTACTCTAAGATCATCTACATATAGAAGGGGCTTAGCCACACAAAAACTTTCACAAATATCATTGATAAACACTAAAAAGAGCAAAGGGCCTAAGACACTATCTTGTATTACACCACTTCTAATAGGGATAGCGTTAGACAGTGAAGAGTTAATTTTAACCATTTGTTGTCGATTGTTGAGAAACGAATCAAACCAAGCTAGCAAAAGATTTTGAACCCCAGAAGATGCGAGTTTACCTATAAGAAGTTGGTGGCTAACTATGTCAAAGGCTTTAGAAATGTCCAGATATAACACTAAGACCAGATAACCTTGGCTACTTAGAGAATAGACTAAATTAAAGTAGTCAAAATGACATGTAATGCAAGATCGATTTTTAAAAAATCCATGTTGAGTATCATTGATAAATTTTCCAGCGAGTAAATAGTTGGAAAGTTCATCACTTATAATTTTTTTCCATAATCCTAGGGATAACTGGAGTAATATATATCGGCCGATAGTTGTTCATGTCAGTCTTATCTCCAGATTTGTAACGTGGTATGATGTACGTGGTTTACCAACAGTAAGGGTAAGAACCTGATCCCATAGAGAGAGTAAACAGTTTTAGAAGATGAAGTGGAATATCTGAACCACTATATTTGTAGAGAAAGGATGAAATCCCGTCTGCTCCATGACCTCTCGAAAGCTTGAGGGTATTTATAGCCTTATTAATTTTCATGCATGTGAAGGTGATAGATTTTATTGAGTTGCTAGTCACGCACATAACTCTTGAAGTAGAGCCAATTATGATTTATACACTGTTCGCAAAAATACTACTGAAAAGGTCTGCTATAGTTTTAGAGTCGTATATAAAAGTGCTATTATGCTGTTTGCATGGTATATCAACATTTTGAGTTGCTTTAGCGAGTGTATTGAAAAGGAGAGTTAAGTTTTGTCCTTTTGAGTTAGCATTAAGTGCTAGTATCTCCTCATTAATGGCTTTTAACCTATGTTTCTCTTTAACTTGATTAAAATTATTGTTATTTGTTCAACTGCCATGAAGTTGTTTGACTTAAACTTCTTAAGCGCGCAGATTAGCCGCTCGGATTCTTTTAACTGTTCAGCTAATATATGAGAATTGAAACTGAACAAGACCGGGCACGAGTATTTCTGGTGCTTTTTATTAAGTCGAATGCATTGACAAGGACTGTCTTGAAGGTTAAATGCTTTTAATATCGAATTCCTGACAGTTTTAATGGGGATTTTGTCAATCACGTTATTACGCGAGATGATTCTCATGGTAACTTCATTAGCGATAAAATCGATAACAGATTCTGCTTTTACAGTGCCATCAAGTTCCGCAGGAACGATATCTTTTGACGAAAGCAGTTAAGAGGTAATAGTGTCTTTATTTCTTGTTTCAGATCATGCTTTAATAAAGAGCTAACAAGTGACTCAACTTTAGAACGCATGTCGTTTAGTTGCTTAAATATAGTGTTTAACTCACTCTTGTTATTATCGATACTTTTTGATCTTGAGTCATCCAGCAGCAGGTGTGGTGTAAGACCACTACCAACATTATCAAATTCAAAAAAGGTAGCAGGGCATGGGGAAAAAGTAATAACAGAGTTGTTATTATCTGAAGAATTAGGGCTTTTCCGGGCCCATATCGCTTTAAGTATAAATTCTGAAGCTATTTATGAGTTATAAACTAGGATTAAACGATATTCAAACAATATATATTGGATACCGTGTTATCGTAACGCAAACTTCAGACATACCATCAACTAAACTAAATTACTGTATTATTATTATTATTATTTTTATTTTTATTATTATTGAGAGATAATGGTATTCAATTCATTATATATGTGCTTCATTTGTTTGTTCGTTTGCTTGCGCGCGTGTGATTCACCCGTCAACATTAATGAGTTATTTAAATAGTTTTGTCACAGATATTTTAACCTGACTTTAAGTTAGCCGTATCACTTGTTTATTCAATGTGTGTGATTTGCTTGTCTGTTTGACTTACATATTCAGTGTCAGATTCGATCAATAAGCTATTTGTCAATTTTAGTCGAATGAAATTTCCATCTATGTATATATGATTTAATCTAACATTTTCTATCTTTTTATTAGGAGACGATCCTCCAAAATTAATTACTGATTTGGTAAATCATGAATTTTCAAAATTTGTTATGCGTGGCCGTTCAGTTGAGTTGGAATGTCCTCAACCAGGTGTACAAAAATCAGCGGATACTATAGCTCCAATTACAGTATGGGGATTAATGCCACGTTTAGGAGAGCAACAACAACCTGTGTAAGATACTGATATGAATTTTAACTTTTCTTATTTTTCTACCACAATGTATAAGTAATGAAATAAGTTTGACAGTTAAGCAACAATTGACAATTTTTGGTATACTGGTTCAGGTAGGTCCATTCGCGATGGAAAGATTCAGGTTTAATGTTTAAACCTGAACAATGAATTTATGATTTTAGTGTTTAGATGTTAGATGGTTGAAGGTAGCCAACAGGAAATTCCGGATCTAAGTTTCATGCTATTTCGCAATCGTTACAAAGTGTACCTGTAATCTTCATAAATGAAATTCGATCAGCACTAAAATTACTAGACAAACATAACATTGATCACTACCCAGTGATCAGTCATTTGTAACGTTAATTTTTATAATGCCGAAAAAATCACCCATCCATCATTCCTATTCAAGTTCAGTTGAACTTATGGCATATAATAATGAGTAAAATTAAAATGATTTTATACAATTTCACATTTCTGGGTAAGATTTAACAAACAGTTTTCTTATATGATATGGATACTGACGTTATTTATTTGAGCAAACACCAAAGTAAACATTGTTCTTCTATTTTCCGGTTTAACGTTTGGTGATTTATTCACATACCGGATAGTTTTTTTATCTAAAGAATGTAAGTATATGGAGGAAATGACCTTAGAGATTCTGTATTTCCCTTTACATAATATATAAGATGATTATTACTGATTACTAGATTATATTTACTAACCAGTTCTAATTTAATTTTTTTTACTGTTACAATATTCAATAATTCTAATCACTAATGTATGGCTAATAGAATATTTTTTTATACTTTCGAATTGTATTTGGTTGTGACGAGTTTTGAAATGATATTTATAAAATAAAAATACCATTGCAAATTATTCTCAATATTTCCAAACTCAACGTTTAATGGAACGTTTCAGCATTTTCATTGCCTCGATTGTAAGAGATTTCCGACAAACTTATCTTAGTCAATTATAGATTTATTTACTCACCCGTGAACTACACTGAATACGATAGGAGTTCAATGATTATCTTCAGCTATTTAGATTAGATTACATAGAACTACCCATCAATTGTAATTAGAAAGTTAAAAAAGCTCAGTCTACGTTTACCTATTTGAAACAATGCGAACTAATGTAAATGTATCCGTTTGTTTTTCCCTTCAATATCTTGACTTCTATTACTGATTAATCTATGTATATGGTCCGAAATCGTAGTCACCTTATCATGTTCATTTTAAGGCGTTTGGGAGGCTGCTGTATTTTGTAGTTTTACATCATTCAGTGACTTTAGATAAACGACTATTGAAAATTATTAACAACAGCATGGTCTCCTTATCCTAGTAAGGAAGTTTTCAGTATTAGAATTAATCGGCTATTCAGTACTTACTGATTTTCACTCGTGATCCAACTAAAGTCAGATCATGATGTAAAGCTGAAAAAATTCTATGTTTGGTTACAATTTCTACTAAAATCTTTATTTTCACTCATTTATTTGTCATCTTAAGAGTTTTCTCTCATCGAGCTAAAGTGTATAGTGTGCTAGTTTGAACTAATGCACATCTATTCTAGATCCTGTATTGTTTTTAGTAGATTATAAGGGCTAGATCTAGTTATTACAGTACAAATAATAGTAAAATAAGCTTAATAAGCAGGCATAATTATTTTTGATATTTACATATATAAAATTATATACCTTAAATTCGACAACAATCCTCGTTAAAATTTGTGGGGAAAAAACAAGCAACATTTATGCCTTTTAACAAAATGGATTAATATCTGAATGGGGATTTGTGCAGATTGTAGTAAATCCAAGACCTTCGATCTCGTTCGCAAACGCTTAACTGTGAGAATGAAAACAAGCAATATCTATACATTTCGACCAAATGAATTAAAATATATAAATTTTAAAATTGAGTTCATTTTAAGCATTGAAAAAAAAGAAACTATTTTTTTTAAACAAAAATCTATTTGTTCACTTTGAATTTCAGATCAACTTTAAGAGATATTCAATTTGCAGATCAAGATACAAAATTAGTTATCAGTAATTTTGATATCCATCATGTGAGCTTTTACACATGTGAAATTAGTTGGCCTAATTCACCAGATCGATATATTTTTCTTTTTCAAGTTGAATTAGCTGGTGAGTTTTAGAAAGTAAAAAAAAGGAAATTATTATTATGTTTGATAATATTGTTAATTTAATTCCAAACATATTGATTTTTAGATGTTCAATGCTTGTTTAATAAACAAGGGAACGGAAACTTAGAAAAATCTTCTAGGTACTTCACTAAATATTGATAATAGATTAGGGATAAAACGTTTCCTTTTGAAATGAATTAAATATTTCAGTGAAATCTGTGTAGACTACAAGGATTTTCTAAGTCAAGCACTGTCATGTTAATATAAAAAGAAAACATGTAGGTTTTTTTTGTGCTCTTTGACTCCTTAATCACTGTTCAACTGATTTAATTATTGGAAAATATCCACGACTCCGCACCACTCGGGGCTCGAACCCAGGACCTACTGGCTTCGTGCGCGAGCACCTAACCTCTAGACCACTGAGCCGGCACTCGACGGTGTTAATGTCTAACTTCAACCAATCCACGAAGTTGCGCTACCGTACACCAATGTCTTCAGTGAGTTCCTATCTCACAACAGACCTGGTTGAACTCCACTGGTAATGACTTCTCACTAGAACTCCAGAAGTGTCTCCTGAAGTCAGTCACTAGTGAGCAGGTGATTATTATTATCAGAATGTGTTTTGTGGAGATTTTTAGAAATTTTCACGTATCATAAATTCGAAAATTAATATTTTTATGACCATATTTCGTCTAGAATATGCACTGGACAGAAGTAAAAGACATACAAAAAAAAGTTATTTCAATGTCATGGGAATTCTTCAAAACGTCAATGTGATATCTATTCAACACAAATCAATATTCTTTACCCATCTAATCTTTATTTGATATGTGGATACTAATCAAAATCGATGATTTGAATAAAAAGAGCTAAAAATAAACATACGAGCATGACCTGAAGATTTTGCTAAAAATAAATTATTTACATTGAATTTTCGGGTTACTTAACTATTGAAAAGTCGTTTTGATTACTGACAAATATCTAATAAAAAATTATTGAAAACTAAAATCAGTTAGATGGATATTTTGTTTTCAGTAGTAGTAGTAGTATACACTACTAATAATAATATCAAACACTGGATCTAATCGCAATATCTATTGACGAGGAACATGAAACTAATTAGAAACTAAGTTGACTGTTGCCTACTAGTTACAACGCATAAGAATCTTCACATATTGTGAGTTTGTTGAAGTTAAACTTGTAGATTTTAGGATGTCTAGTGAATATTATTCTTATGTTTGAAAGTAGATTAAAACAACACTTGCTAGTTTTAGATTTCTTTCCAGATTATATCACTTTAGGATAATAGTCGAGCTGTAGCTTGTGGAATAAGTTATTAGAATTTTAGTAACGTGGTTATGAGTTCAAAATACACCTCATCTACCATGTTGTTCAGCTGTAAGCAACTCAGGGCTTAGTTTAAATTTGGAGCAGTCCGATTCTCCACACCATATTTCAGTATAGCGAAATTATATTACCAGGATGATTGCCAATAAAAATTATTAAAAAGAAGTGGTATATAGATAAATCAAAGAAATTCTGATATGGACAATCAGATAGTAGAACATGTCTATCATGTCTACATGTTCTACCAACAAGTGTAAGATATAGACTTCCAATCAACTGCCCATTAGGATGAACAATCAGATAGTTTTAGTGGTCAAACGCAAGAACCTTTACTTAGTTGAATAATGTAAAAAAGTTGTTTTATTACATTTATCATACAAAGTTGCTACGAAAATTACATAACATTTTAACATGACCACCTAAGTAGACATTGTTTAGTTATTTGTTAAATCAACATCATATGGCTTATGTTGAATATTGCATATTTATTACATATTCCTCAGTGGAATTCAATGTATTTTACTTTAATTACTCACATGATACTGTCTTTAATAATAACGTTTAACTTGTTGCAGTTTTTATTAGAATTCAATATTAGTCAACCTTAAATTGAAAGAAAATACATTGAAGTCAAATTATATGAAGGAATTACGCTTTCACTAAACCTATTATGTAACACGCATGCATGTCATTGTGTATTAATATGCTTATGTAAGTCGTTATTGTAGGCTGAATGTTCTAGGCATTAGTCATAAGATGATTTAAACAAGTTAACATATTCACTCTTGAAAATTCAACAGTAATAAAGTCATTTTTTAAAAATTTTCATATATATCTGTTATTCGAGAGTGAACTGTGTCTAAATGAACACAAGATCTATGGTGAGATAGTAAATATACACCTCTAAGTGTACGATATTTAGACAAAACAGCTGTCTCTTGCTTATTAGCCCTCGATGTGAAGCTTCAAATTCAGCAGTTGTCAGTACATCCCAAAGTAACAACTAATGATTACTAGTTAGATATTCGTCTTTAATGAATATTCATTTAATTTAAGAGAACCTGAATAACTAAACAATACAACTATATATATATATATATATATATATATATATATATATATATATATATATATATATATATATATATATATATATATATATATATATATATATATGATGTATCCGGCCAGTTTCTAGTCAGTCATAAAACAGATTTCATAAATGGATGACTTATTAGGAAAATATCGCTGGGTGTAAACGGATTTTACATGATTAGTATGCTTAACTATGTCTTCTACAGTTTACTGTGTCTGTAAATTGATAAGAAACCGACGTGTAAACTCGTCCTGATCAATATAAATTGTCCATCTTCTTAAACCCTTAAAGGCATCAAAATAGATTTTCAGGAATTCCCACATTGTTCCTAGTTAAAGCTAGGGATAAGATAATAACAAGATTAGGGGTTTAGAATTACGATTTTTACTACGAACTGACAGTTATAAGGTAAAAATGATTTATGGCCCTATTGATGAATGGATTTCACTTAGAAAATACGCGATTAATCCATCCATAAAACGTGGTGCTATCAAGTTAAGCTTTGTTTCACAATTAAGGGTGTGAGTTCGGAATTTAGTGAAATTGTTTATTTGCCTGTTGCATACAATCTAAAGGGACAAAATTAGGCATTCCATACGTTTGAAACTATTGATTTTACTTACGATTGTAAAATTAATTTCCCTCTATCATTTTAAACGTCCTGAGTGTAAGGAGGTATTTTACTGCTCATCATATATGATATTTGAACCTAAAAGTTATGTTGTGTATTCTGAGTAGCTCATCTCTATGCTACACTTTCACCGTTGTGTAAAATAGAAAATAAACTAACCCTATATTACTGAAATCATGGTTTTTTCTACATAAGGGGGTTATTCAAAAACTCCGCTTAGTATTAGATTCAGTCAGTCCTTAATTACCTTCAGATTATTTTTCCCGAGATTATAAGTCTTTTAGCACAATGAAAAATGTCATGATGCTTATTGCTTGTCTCGGTGATTATTCATGATCTTATTGAAAATGCATCATGCAGAAAACCTATCAAACCAACATGACTAAACGAATAATAAAACGGTGTTTGTTGAGTCAGCTACATGTTTCTTTAGCTAGTTAAGTTTGCACACATTGATGGCTCAATAAATTTAGTAGTAAATGTTATTTGGTTAGAAAACATACGCGGTTTTAATTAATAAAACATCAACTAAAATTGGACACATTAAGTCATTGTAAACAAATATGTTTTTTTAAGTAATCGATTGACTATCAGGTGCTCATTGTTCAACTGTAGTGTTATCTAAGTATTTTTAAAAGTAATAAAATTATTGTTTTGGATTTATTTTACTATACTGACGTTATGGTTGAGCTTTTCGGACATATATTATTCAAAATTCAACCTACTGCTATTTGTTTGCTTTTTCATTTAGATTTTGTGGTAACTGCTTCGTTAATGACCATAGGATTATGGGATTAGTTAAAGATTTTTTCACAAATTTATAAAATAATTTCGTCATAACAGTAGCTTACCGGTTCAGGTATTAAACTTTCAATCAACAGGTTGGATGATAGAACTTTGGTTAGGTTAATTAAATTTAAGGATCTGGGTAGTATCACACATATATAGTGCGGTTAAAACCCTAACACATAAATTTGTACACAGTAAATAACTTATGATACATTCAGTTATATAACCATTTATAACAGTCGACAGTAGATTCACTCAAAAATTGAACATCATTTTCTATTAAAATTTAATATTCATTGTTAAAAAGACCGTTCGTGCAATGGTTTCCAAATGTTGTTGAAAAACAACTCAAATTATTTAAATAAATTATATTTACATATAAAAATATTATTGAAAATTATTAATCCCTGTCAAGTAAAGCTCTCTCAGTTAATACAACCATCACAGAATAATTTGTTCATACAAGAGTGGGAAATATATATAATTATTATCAACTGTTACTAGTATTAGAAATCTCACAATGTCATTATATTCAGCACATAATACCTAAACTTAAAGTTTAGTTTCGCCGATCAAACAGGTATCATCGGCAAATAACTGAAATAATATTTCACCGATGATGGCAGTTTAGAAGTAACAAAAAAAACTCAATTCAATATTTATAAGTTTAAAAGAAGCGAAAATACGTCAAAGGAGTTTGAAAATAAATTGATTGAAATCATTTAACTAAACTATGAAATCCCGAATTAGTGGTTGAAAGGTTAAGCAATCGCTATTATACTTGAAGGTCCTATGTTCGATCCTTGTTAGGTATTTCTATGGTTGTAAATTTCTATGAAGTTTTATACTAAGACGAAACAGATGTAATACTTTGTGGTTTTAGGTGATATAATTAAGGTCAGTTCGTGATAATAATTACAGAAAATGTAAATTATATTAGATGATTCCATTTGGTACTCTATAATTATTGTGTTATATTTATAAATAAAATGATTAGCAACTATCTGGTGAAGTAAAATTGTTTATAACCATAGGTATGCACTCATACTATCATGTATGCGTATACGCATATATATAGAACGAAAATGTATCGGTTATAAAAACGGTTATTATTATTATTATTATTATTATTATTATT